CCGTGATAGCTGGCGTTGTCCTGGCTACGTGCTTTTGAACGGGCTTCCCGCCTTCAGCAGCGTTCAGCCCTGTGTCCCCCCCGCCTGGGCGGGTGGTGGGTGAACCTCTGTCCGCCTTAAGGTTTCACGAGGGGACGAGGCCGCCCTTCATATTTGGGGCGTGCTGTTGGCCTTCTGGCGGGGGCCGTCTCAGCCGCCGGTTGTACCCGCTGGCCAACGGAGAACAAAGTGAGATTGAGCGCTGAAAGTAAGCAATAATAATTGTTTATACATTCAAGTAACTGTTTTAGGAATTTGTCCCCAAACTGAGGCGAGACGTAAGTCTTCTGTGAGGATTGCGCCATCCTAAGTTTTAAACTGTGTGTCATAATTTTTAAGTTCACATATTTCAATTTTAAAAAGCCAAGGGAGTTGTGGTTATTTTTATTTGCCCAGTAATTGCCCTCATTGATCAGAGTTTTTTTCCCAACCGCAAAAAAAACCTCATTCAGATCTCGGCAGAGTTCACTTGGGTGCAGGGAAAACAAACTCCAGTCTCGTGGAAAAACACGTGTTTCCTTCCACACATACAAGGCCATAAGAAAAGCCAGTGCTCCACCTAGCTAGGAAGGTCTGTAAATCAGTTTCTAAGAGTGTTGGAAGACATCTGGGGTTTTTTGGGTGTTTCCCCAAAAACACCTCAACAGCACAGGGGAGCTTGCACATGAGACTGGTGGTGTGGGCATCAGTCCTGTTGCAGTACATAGAGCAGTGTTACTTCTCCTGAATTCTGCCTTGATGCTATTTGCCATTCGGAGAAACGGGGGGGCGTTGTGCAGCATTCTGCCATGCAGGAGTCTTGTGGTCTGAGCAGAGACCAAAATTAAGCAGCTTTCGACTCTTCTGGGTTTACTTGCTTGTGGTATTGAGCAAATTGCTTTTATTGAGAACGAGTTGTGATAAACGTAGGTCTCTCTGTGCTTTTTATGACATAGTTAACTTCGTTTCTGTTTCTTTTGTGAATTGTATCTTACATGTAGGGAGGAAAATTCCACAAATGTGTTTGGACAGTTAATATTAAACACCAGAAAAGGAATTATGAATGGAGTATTCCACTGGGGGTTTTAGTGTTGGTTTTTCATCTGGTGTTTTAGTTCTTTGTAATCGTGGACAGTGTATGAGAAAGGCACATCATAAAGCTGGTATAGCCTTGTGCTTTTAGATGATGCATTGCTCTGTGGGGAACTAGATAATCATCTTTCCATAGTAACTATTATGCCGTACCTTGAGAAATCCTTCCAATAGTCAAAACAGTGGCTCATTTTTACATATGAATGTTTGTTTTATTTTAGGGTATGCTATGACTGGCTTCAGACTCCCCATCACTGCTTTTAGAAAACTAAATGTCTGGTTTGGACTGTGGGAGAAATTCCCCTCTAATAAACTGTATCCCTCTTGGAGGAGAAGCATATTCTGTAGCTGTCAAGCAAGCACAGTAAACTACAGAAGATGTTTCAGTTTTTCCCCAGTAAAACTCTGTGCACTAAGACTTTCTCCAGAGTATATCTCAGTACTTTCTCTGCGGAACAAAAGTAACAAAAGCTCGAAAAGGAGCAGACAAACCATACAAGAAGAAGAGGAAGAAGAGGATGAAGATGAAGAGGAAAGTAATTTGGAAGATGAATTTCAAAATGATCCCAACGTAGTAAAAGATTACAAAGATCTTGAAAAAGTAGTACAGTCTCTTCGATATGATGTGATCATGAAAGCTGGTCTAGACATTGCAAGAAAGTAAGTATGGAAGAAACAACCTGCTGATGAGAAAGATGTCACGTATCTAAAAATTGAGTTTTGATACCCTTTTATTGCTGGAATAACTCCGTATTTGGGGTTTTTTTTGGTGTAGCTGTTTTGAGTGTCTAAAAATACAGTTTGGCTGTATGGGTGTTCTTGTTTGTTTCACCTTTCCTCCCTGTTTTCTGCTTTTTGCTGTCTGCAATATTTCTAAGATTGCTGAGGAGGCATTTTCTATCAATTACTATTTAAAGTGAAGAAAACACAAAATACTGTACTAAGTAATACAAAAAGATCTAATCTGAGATTGAGTGAGTGAAATAATACGCTGCCTAATGGCTATAGAAATAAGTGAGGGTAAGTATAAACCTAACATACTAGGTCAATCAGGTAAATGCGCACTCTATAAATGTATCGCAATGTTTGATCTAATGCAACCTACAGAAGCCTAATATTGCACCGTTGTTAGTAACAGAATATTAGTATAACTTATCACTTAAATTATTAAACTGGCTGGTGCAGGAAAGGAGACATTGTTCATTGGATATTCATTGTTCATTGTCTTTAGAAACAGCTTTTTATTGCTTGCAACTGTGGCACAGAGCAACTATATTCTAGTATTTAATTTAATATCTATGAAAGACTTTTTCTTTACTTCCAGTTCAAGTCTGTCCTAACCTTAAATAAAGGTATGCTTTATGTGCAAATTAGAGTTGTGGAAATGTGCCTTGCACGTGAGTGGTGTTCTTGTGTATCTGCAAAGAAACAATTGCATTTGGTCTGCTGCACACTGTAAATGCAATAAAACCTTGTTTTTCTTCAGTAAAGTAGAAGATGCATTCTACAATAATGAACTCAGGCTGAATGGAGAAAAACTGTGGAAGAAAAGTAGAACTGTAAGACTTTTTAAAATTTAAATCTTTTAATACACTACAAGAAAATAACTAAGGCATGACCTCTTCTTCTTTCTCCTTTAACTTGGGTCAGAAGAGCTAACCACTAAATCGCTCTGCAAAGGTGAATGAGTAGCATTGCTAACACCACTTCCAGCTTTGCGTGTGTGTGACCAGTTCCCTGGGTAAGACAGGACTAAAAACTAAGGCTGAAAGTCAGGAGAAGGCAGATGACAAGATGCTGAAGGAAGTGCTGGTAGATGTGAGGTTGATGGAGTAGGAATGATTAAATCTTGGTGGAGCAGGCACATGATTAAAGAAAAAGAGAAAGTTTCTTGCTAGAAGGGGATTGAAACTGGGGTAGCTGAGGACAGGTTATTGTATCTGTAACAGAGCACACGGGAACACAGTTAGAAGAGGCAGAAGGGTTGCAGGCCACACTTGTTCAACAACAGAGCTCTCCAGAACGGTGACAAACATACTTCTACCCACCCTTTATGTGAGAGTTATCCTAGGTGGTGGTTACCATCATCAAAGGGCAATAAGAAGAGAAGTTTTAATTCCTGATCACCTAAAGTTAAGGCTTGTTTTTGAGAGGCATGCTGCTTTTGTGACTTTTGAAAGGAGCACAAGCAGTTGACCAGCACTCTGTTCTTGAAAACACTTTAAACTGTTTTAAAGGCAGGGGGGAGAACTTTGCGTTTTGCTGTTTTGTGTCTATATTGATACAAACAGATTGGCAGGAAACACCCTTCAGCAAAAAACCATACTACATTAACTACATTACACCTTTTTCACAGAGTTAGATGTCAGTTGTAGAACAGGAAGGGTAAAGCTCTTGGCAGAGAAGGTCATGAGACATTTAATTGCTTATTGCCAGGGCTTTCCAGACGTTCATAGCTGGGGGATCTGTAATGGGTCTAGTATTGCCTGCCTTCCTCCTCTCCTGTGAGATAAGAATACTAAATGGAAGGAAAGGAACAAAATTAAAATTGGACGTAGACTGCAGGGATTTGTTTTCCTCAGGGAATGTTTATAACCACTCATCTTCTCTTTCTGTTTCCAGGTGAAAGTTGGTGACACGCTGGATCTCCTAGTAGGTGAAGATAAAGAAACAGGAACTGCTGTAATTATGCGGGTAGTCTTAAAAAAAGTATCTAACAAAACTGAAAGTGAAAAATACAAAGTAATTTTGAGGCGTTGGAAAAACTTGAAAGTGCCCAAACAGGATGTACTTAAGTAACAGGGGGGTTGCATGTGGCAGCATAAGATTTTTGCAGAAAACCGTATTTGTTGTTAAATAGGAATTTTGGTTAAACAAAATTACAGTACCCTTTTTTAAGGGCTTGTGTCAGAATGTTATCTCCCTCTGCTGCGTACATCAATATTCATGCAATAAGCCTGTCACTTTTTGCTGTTAGTTTTGTTTCATGGTATTGTGGGATGAAAGATCCAACCCTTACATTTCCAGGCAGTTTCCTTACAGGTGTTACAAATAATGAACCAATAAAGACTAATTTGATCACTGTTTAATTGCTGTCTAATTTTGTTAATCAGAAAGGTTACATTAAAGCTGACATCACAACAAGCAGAACTGCTTTCTTAGTTTTATCTCTAGATTCATGAAACAGTTAGGGATAATAGGGATAAAACCGCCCATTATGTAAAATTGCTTCCTTTTTCAGTATTGGTTTGATCTTAGTTAACAATACCAACTCCATGCTTATATACAGTGCTGCTATACCAAGAATATAGAAGGATACTGATAGCAGCTGCGTATTTCTAAGCAGGACACTTAACGGTGACAGAGAATGAATCACGGCAGCGATACTCTGCTCTCATGGAGAAGGCAGATCAGTGAGGAGATGCGTGTAGTACTGCTGATTTTTACTGTTTAAGTAACCGTGCAGAGGAAAATGAAATCTCAGTTTGTCACGTATTCATTTCAGGGTGGGATTTAAGAGAATATTTAATACTTAGGTGGTGTAAAGATCTGAGCAAAGATCAGACCATACTGTGATGAAAAGCTCATGTCTGTATTGCTACAGGAAAATACTGTCACTTAGGACAGGCACTTCAGGCATCACCACTCGCACTTACATGTTGAACACACGCTTCTCCCAACACAAGTGATTTGTTGGATGAACTGTGGTGCAGACAGAATTTTTATTCTGTTTATATATGTTTAGACAGCCACACGCAGGTGTGTCTACAGGAAAGCTGGCCAGTAGGAGCAGGTAGCTACTGTTCGTTCAGTTCATGGTCTGCTCCCTGCCTAATCTGAAGAGCACGAGGGAAGAAGATAGCCCAGAATAGGCAACCGGAGCATACGCCAGGACACTTTCTCTTGGGTGTTCCTGAAATCTGAATGGGTAGGCAAGAAATTGTTGCTCACAAAGCAAACCTAGTGCTCTGGTTAAGCATCAGACTAACAGGGACACATAAAAGCTCTGGTAAAGTGACGACTGGATTGTCACTGCATAAAACATCTCTGAGGTGAGAGGAAGCAATAGTGCTCACCTGGTTAGGAAGCATGGGAACTGTGGGACTCAGCTGCCCACAGCCACCCAAAGACTGTGTTTAAGCAGGCTGTACCTGCTGCTGTCCGTAGCCTTGGAAGTGGTGGCTGCTGAGTGCGGGATTTAAAATAATTTCTAGCTTTCTTCAGGCACAGCTACAAATCTGTGCTGTTTTGGGCTTCTTTTTTTATGATTGTATAGCTGTTTAAAGATGCAGATAGATGTCTAATTAATGGTTTAGAGGCATAGTGACCTTTTAAAAAAATCTGTTCTTAAGAGGACATGATCCTGGAAAGCTTTCCTAGGGGACTTTGGTGATCCTTACACTGCAGAAGTGAAGGGATTCAGCATTGCAAGCACCCAGAGGAACGTGGCAGGCTGTACTTTCACTGCCGGGATTGCTGTGTCCACTGTATTTGTTGGAGCTTGTACCAAGTGCTATGGAAATAGAGAGATGAGATGCATCCTCTGTTCCCCAATTCCACTTACCATTGCTATTCTAAGTGGCTCCCACAATCTCCAGGGATGCTGAGAGAAACGAGTAGAAAGATGTGTTACGAGTAATATGTCAGTGAGCTCCAGCTGTTGGTCAGCAACCATTTGTTACCTGTCAAGTGCACATCAGTATGTACAGTCACACTGCCTGTGACCTCCAGCAGTAGCAGCTTACACACCAGAGCTTACAGGGCACGAATAGGACCCCACTCATAAACCTCAGGAATGCTCTGGGGCTTGGCGATAGCCAAGGTACAGATATGAAGAAATGAACTTTCTGAAAGGGTTAAGATAAAACCCAGGATAAAACCAAGAGCAACAAAAAAAGCCAACACCTGCCTGGCATCCAAGATGGGCAGGAAAGTTGCATCCCTGAAAACCATTGACATAAGAGAGAGCACAGGCAGGGTAATTTCTTGAGTTGGACAGAATATGAATACAACATTAGGCCAAAACCTTAGATTTGAACTTCCGGAAAAGCCTATTGGGAAGTAAAGCAGACAAGAGCTTGCAACAAAGACCTAGCTCTCCCCTAGTGATGACGGAGAGAGACTTTTTACCAAGACTTGTAGTGACAGAACAAGGGGCAATGGTTTTAAACTGAAAGAGGGTAGATTTAGATTGGATATAAGGAAGAAATTTTTTACAATGAGGGTGATGAGACACTGGAACAGGTTGCCGAGAGAAGTTGTAGATGCCCCATCCCTGGAAGTGTTCAAGGCCAGGTTGGACGGGGCTTTGAGCAACCTGATCTAATTGATGTCCCTGCCCGTTGCAGGGGGTGTTGGACTTCCAGATCCCTTCCAACCGAAACTATTCCATGATTCTGTGATTCTATGACTGCCACCAAAACCAAGTCTTCACTGACAGACAAAGGTGGAAACAGGCTTTCATAGTTTTAAGTGTTGACCCGCTAGCGGTATCAGTGAAGTAAAGGAAAAGAAAGGCAGACTTCCTAAGGAGCCTTGTGATGGGTGAGAGCAGCCCCTGTGGATTCAGGATTGAAACGGTAGGAGAGAGAACCGTACCCATTGGCTTCAGAAAAGAAAGCTTCAGTCACAGGCAGGGTGAGCTCAGAGGAAAACTATGACAGCAGGAAGGTGAGTAGCTGTTCTGCTTGGCTACATTGATCTGTCCTGGATAAGCTCCTCTATTGATCAGACCCTTTTGTTGTGGCCTGGCATTGTTGAGCAGGTTGCGCTTGTTTCTGCAGCCTTTAAACATTTGGACTGTGAGCTAAAGAAAGCCAAGGCTTGGTTAATGACTGACGCGCGTGCCAAGCGAGCAGAGCCAGCATGCGTTCTGGAAGGCGTAGGAACAGGCACATCACAGCCACAGTTCTTGCTGGACCTTCAGGGGACATTTAGACAGGGTAAGCTCACGTAGACTGTGTGTATGTAAAGCATACATAAACTTATCTGGGCATCAGCTGCGCCTTCCCTTCATCAGCTATGAATTTAAGGTGATGGAGTCCATCTGATAACATGGTCAAGTGTCTGGTCAGATGACATGGCAAGGTAGGAAGAAGTGGTCAAACAAAAGTTTTAATGATCTTCCCAAAACAGAGAATCTGCCACTAGGCAACTACCAAATCTCTAGTGCCACTGAGTACCGAGTGGTGGGAGACACACAAATGCTTTTCCTCCTGCTCAGAGTTCAGGGTACAGACAGTGAATTGGGAAACTGATGGCCGCTTCTGCCGCCCTTCGGTCACTGCTGTAATGAATTTCCTGCTCCAGGACATGGGCATCTGCCATTCTTAGTCTGCATGGTGGAGGAACTATATGAAAGGGCTTCCTTGCGGAGATACTGCAGAGAGGTCATAAAAGGAGGTTTGGACGGCTTGAGAAGTGGCTCACAAGTTCACTGGAGGCTGCCCAGATGTATGCTGCCAAAGCCACTTCTGCATTAACCACAGATGAATCCAACTTGTGCTGGTTGTCAGGCACGGAGCGCAGAATGGCCAGCATCCTGCCCTCGCACGGAGGGGTGACCTGATCCAGAAGACTTTGCCTGGTCCTGTAAGAGGCAGGCACCGTCAGGTTGTGGGTACAGGACCCAGTTGTCACTGCACAGCACGCAGCATTGTCTGACAGCTTTGCGTGTTTCACCCGCTGCAGGAGCAATGTCACATGCTGCAGCATCTGCTGCACGTGGGCCAGCCTGCGTTACGGAGCAGGGCGCGGGAGGATCCTGTGAATTTTTTTGCTCACAGAGGAGTTGGACTCGAGTCTGGCAGAAGAGTCAGCCTGGTCAACTAAAGCAGGCACGTAGCGACACTCCTGAATAGGTTCCGAGTTCTGCTGCCTACAGATCAACACAGAGAGAAGGGGGTTATACTCTGACCCCTCTGGCCCTCCAAAAAAATAGGCAATTCTTTTTTTCCATAGAACAGAAAAGCACCAAAGTGTTTCTGGGTTTTATTTTGGGGATTTTTTTTTGTTTCTTGTGATGGTTTTTTTCTGTAATGGCATGTCAGAACAGGACAGTCTACCTTCAGCACCTACCAAATTACAGTGCTCAACAGCCTGTGCAGGCCAATCGCGGTGGTCATTCTACGATGGCATGCATGGGGAAAGGAATGCAAAAGGCAGGTGTGTGGGAGCCATGCAAATCTGAGTACTGCTGAAGCTAAAAAATTCTTCAGTTTCCAGCACTTGAGTATTCAATTCACATATAGACAAGCACTTCAGGGAGATCCCGTTTTTTTTTAATTCTTGGAACAAGGAGAGATAGGGAGCAAGAGAGACAAGGGACAGCATTACACGACATAAACCCAAACTCCTAGGTTTTATACAAGGGATCAAATGTCAAATGTAGGATGTGATCCTATTGAGTGACTTGTTCCTACGGCTGACAGGTACCTCAGGATTTTGTTTTCAGAGGAAACATTTGTAGACCTTGCTAACATACTACCTTATGAGCTAACGGAAGTGGTACATTCCTGAAAGTGTAAGGATTAAAGGAATATTTTGCCTCCCAGAGAAGTAAGCACTAACACACAACACTACAAAATGCCTCTGGAAACAATGACAAACAGTTGTTTTGCCATAATGAAATTTGTGAAGTAAATTGGGAATGATTACTTGACATTTGTGTGTGTGGGGAGATATTAATTAGCTGATCTTCCTCCAGTCTTCACCAATCACAATTTATTTTGTTTCCATCTATTAACACAAATTTTTGTGTGGTTGATACATGGTGATTTTGCCCATTTTTTGACTGGGAAGACACGCTAAATTTTTAAAAAGAAAATAAGGAAAACCTAGTAAAAAAAACTGAACAGGTTTGTTCTATTCATGTTTGCCTTTGGGCGGGGGGAGAAAGGGGAGAAGTAGGAAAAGAACATGTCATATTCTCCAGAACAGCTTTATTTCCCTTCTATCACATCTCTTGCCTTCCTGTGAGAATCAAAGTTCTTCTTTCTGAATTGCTAATGAAAGGAAAAAGCTCAGTGGGGGCCACAGCCCCATCATGGAACAGATCAGGAAACGGAGTAAGCAGGCCATCTGCCCATGTCACAGGCTTTTATGGCCATTAACTAGAAAATGACAAAAATGAAAAGGAATATGCTGGATAAAAATAATACAGCATAGGGGCTAATCTGCAGCCAATCAGATGAGGTGTAAGGAAAATGTTGTGAATATGATGGAGTTTTGATTTTGTTAGGAGTCATCTGCTTCCAGCACTGGGAGCAGCCAACCCAGCGCAGCTCCTTCAGCCAGCACTCTGCTGCAGGAGAGATGACCTCTCAAAACAGGATTTACGTGAGCTGTGACAAAGATAATGATGAGTATTCTGTATTCTGTAAGAAATTAAAACTATCACTACCAGTGAGAAGTTTAGATGCATGACTTCTATAATGGAGGGAGTAAAACGAGGATTTCAAAAGCACTGTTACTGCTAGAAATTTATCTATCTTAATATTTTCTAGTAGGTAGGAAAGAATGAAGACAAATAAATGGGGATTTCTTTCTTTTTCTATCTTTCTTAGCAAAGACAATCGTAAGAGGGAATTAAGAGAGGGAACTAAACCATCACTTCAGCCATTCATTTTAAACAACTTCAAGCATATTTAAAAAGATGTTTTCAGTATGTTCCTGAGAAAAAACCCATAACTACATTGGTGCAAACTGAGTTGCAGTAACAATGGAAAAAATCAGAAAGTCAGACCGAGGAAGTGAAGAAATTGACAGTGATGGAGTTCGTTTGATCTACTCAGAAAAATCATAGACATAAACCTACCACTTGTTCTCCCATAGATTTTAAGTGCAATCAACTAAAATGTGCATTGTAAGTAAGAACACTTGTCAATTTATGCCCCATCGTCAGTACAGGCAAGCTGAAGACACTGAATTTTCCAGCTGTTTCACATCCCTTTAATCAGTGAAACAAAATCTGAATAAAAATAAATTATGAATAAAACCTCCATATTATTTTCTGTGCTTCTGGGGGCTGTAGAATTCATGTTAGCCCCTTCCAGCACAAAATCAGACCTGGTGTGCCTTTGTAGAGCACTGAACACAAAATTCTCTGTTTCTTACTGCTATAACATAATATGAATATCAAACAACAATTGAACAGAGACAAATGACAGATTTAAAAAATGTATCTAGAAATAAATTGTATGCATTTTGAAGATAAGAAAAAAGTCACAAACATTTCCTAGAACATGAAACACTTTGGTGGCTGTAATGCGTTAGCATAACAAAGTGGTTGACTTCAAGTAAAGATTTTTCTCATTTGCGAAGTTGGTGTTGATTCTGTCAGCTGAATACAGTTAACAGGCAATAAACTGATGCATACTTGATCTCCCTTTTGATGCGCTGTTTTACATCTTTTACAGAGCTTCTAAGTAAGTTTTTAATTTGTAGAAAATGGGTAAGACACAAAAATACAGAGCTACGATACATTACACTGTTTCTTTTAGAAAGCTGTTAGAAGTGGGCTATTCAATGCTTATCCAAAGCTGATATATTTAAACTATAAGAAGCAGATGGAGACACGTGATGTTCACCTTAACAGGGTTTTACTGACCTGGTAGGTAGAAAGGAACGTTCATCTATAGGAAGTCAGTGTGTGCATGGCTATGTATGTTCCAAATACTTCAATGTCTAGCAATCTTCCTATCATAACCTCATTTTCAAAATGACAAGTTTATTCTTTTAAACAAAAAAAGTCTGAAAGACAGAAAAATCTTTTTAAATGGCTGCAGCAAACCAGGGTATTTTCATTTATGTATTGTCTGACTAGCTAAGGTTATCTCAGATCTTACTAACAGACTTTATAGGAAAAAAAATCCTGCTCGTACTCAAGCAATAACCAGACAACATTCCTCTTGTATGAAAATAATATACCTTTAATTTATTTACAAGACTGACCAACTGGATGAAGTGGCTGTACTTCAGATGCACTGCAAGAGCTTTCATTAGTGACCTATGTCACTGTTCATATGTATTCTCTTGATATCAGTTATAAAACATACAATCAAACAAATTACGAAAGGGTTGTGAAAAGTTGAAATAAAAGGAATGTACACAGCAATTAGACAAAAGTTAAGAGAAAAAAACAACGAAAATCTTTCTACACCCACTTTCAAAAATGTAATTTTAAAAGGTGAAAATTGTTTTTTCATGTTATTGTTTAGATAATATGAATGGACTGATTCTCTGACTTAATGTCAACATCTACAGTAAAAGCCAGTATGTCTCAAATTTGCATGCTAGCTAGTAACATCTGTCAATTGTAGAAAAGTTTAATATATATCGAATTCTTCTGGGAGCTTTGACATCACTAAGTGGTGAAACGTGTGTGACATTAAGATAAGAAAATACAATCATATTTCTTACCTTCTGGCCAGCCATTCGCAACAACAAATTAAGCAGCTGTTAATAATTTCTGTCATTTTATATCTCCCATAAAAGTGCATGTAAAAAATTTCACAGAGGTGCTAGGTAGCATACAATTACAAGAGAAAGTCTTGGTTTCTGATACATTCAATTTGCTAAATTTACGCACTAAAATGAAAGATAAGATGCAGACATTGTGGTATCAGTTCTTTATCTTTGGTAAAATGTTTTCATTTTATTATAGCTGTATGTGCTCTGATATCAATTTTGTTCATGGTCTGCTATTATTTAAACCAACAGGAAACATTTAAATGGATATAAACAGTATCAGTGTATTATTTAGTACATTCATGACTTTCTTCATACATTCTCTGAGAATGTTGCTAGCATATGGGGAAAATGAGCAAATGCTATGACCGATATGTTTACTCCCGGTTTAACATAATACTTTTACTAGTTCTTGCCATTAGGAAAAAACGTTTTGTTTTGCTTTTAAAAGAAAGGGATCAATATGACTCTAAGAACAATAAATCCTAAAAATCTGAAGTAAAAATATCAAGTATTTTGTACTTTCTTACAAATGCCAAAACAGAAAATTACACTGGAACCGACTTAAAATTTGATACTATGACCCATCTAAGTAAACAACAAAAAAGGACCACAGAGAACATCAACAATTGCTCCAAGGTATTCCAGCGATGGTCAGTAAGCGATCACTGTCTTTACTGTCTTAAAAATCCATGTCTGACTCTCTCTCACCATTTCTATCAGCATTAAAAGAAAAAAAAAAAAAGGATGAAAACTAGTTTTAAAGCAGCACTCTCCAGTGACAAGTCATACAGCAAATTCACATTGGGTTCTGGGTGGTCTTTGTTAGACTTGAACATATTAATGACGCAAACTTGACCGCATGAACCTAAGTTATACATACACAGTTATGCCTCCAAACAGCTATTAATTACACCAAATCAATTTGGCAAAGTGAGAGAATTCAATATCCCCACACCCGAAATATCCAGATGGCTGCATTCACGCAAACAATGTTACACTACCACAGCTCATACCTGGGGACCCTGAAACACTGAATTCCATCATAAAACCAATCTTTGCACGTACTTTTTATATATGCAATTCAATATGAATACTGGAAACCTTTGGAATCATGATTTTGATAGAGAGTAAGGTTTTTCTAAGTTCTTTTTTCGGGTCTTTTTGTTGTTGTTGTTGGCTTTGTTATTTTACAAATAGAGTGGCAAGCAGGCGATGGCAAGACATTCCACGGGTATAGGCTTGGGTCTGTTCTGCTGGCTTTATTCAGATGAGCCATCCTCAGTCACGCCAGCAGTGACACTGGACAAAACAAAAAAAGAACTCACAGGGGCAGGATCAAGCTTGTGGTGTCAATATTAAAAAAAACATTCACTTTGTGTCTATGCTCACATCTCAATTCTTCAAGAGTTAATTCTTGGTTTTAGAAATAAAACCTGGTAACAGTCAAAAAAGCAAATGACACCATTCTGACCCATTCTTTGACGCGGTATTATCATTTTCAGTATCTCAGTATCATTAAGAACAAAACAAATGTGAAACTGCAATTACTGTAGAAGCAAAGTCTAATACTCCAATGATTTCCAATGGACATGGCACTTTCAAATTTAAATTAAGTTTAAATTTCAAACTCCGAATTAACTATCAAGATTGTTTATAAGGGTATAATGAAAAACTGCCCCTGAGGAGCACGACGATTTAAAAAAAAAATCTTTATTATTAGAAAGTGATAAAAAAGGAAGATGCAGAAATGGGGAGTGGAGTAATACAGTTTCAATACATGTATTTGCACCAGTGAAAAATCATGCTCTTAGCGAGTCATTGATAGCTCTATCACCGATGACTTACGCTCTTTACCCATGTACAAATGTAGTAAGCCACTTCCCACTGCTGCAGTGCCCACATAGATGCAACACACACATTAAAACGCAACAAACTTAGTGCCTGACTGTCCCAGATGCTGAGCACCCTCAGCTCCCAACAGGCCCCTCAGTCTAAACCAAAGCATAATCCTGACAATAATTTAGTGGTCAAAGTCTTAGGAATTTAAAGAGCCTGTCACTTTTTTGCTTTCTTTGCTTTTTTCAGTATATCACACTTTTTTCTGTTAGGACGCCGGCATCTTTCATCAATGCTCGGTATACATTCATAATGCCATACTTCCTCCATTTTCTCCACAGGGTAAACTGCCTCCACGTAATGACGGATCAGTCTCAGTCTGATAGGATCGAGCTGTTTTTTGTTACAAGCACCTGAATGGTTGTATTGCAGTCTGAGATTCTCCGGAGTTTACGAGAAGCCTGGCAGCAAAGTTGCCGACCGACAGGCTCTGCTGCACTATCTCTCTTACCTCTTTATCAGACAGCAAATACAGAGAAGGCACAGGGAAGTCTGGATTAGGAACAACGAGTTCATCGAGTGGTATCTTGCAAAAATCTTTGCTGCTTCTTTCCGGTGGCAGCAGCGGCCCTTCAAATTCTTCTCGAAACCTCTCAGGGTTTATTGCATAGCTGAGAAATTCCCTCCTGTCGGGCCCCGGCACGTGGATTTTCCGTTGCTGTTGGTACGTGCGCCTTTGCTCCGTGTCTCTTCGTCGACACCTCTCGTCAAGCTTCCCAACAAACTCCAATGTCCACACTCTGTCATTCTTTGCTCTGGGGTACAGTATCTGCACATAATGTCGAATTAATTTAATTCTAGTGGGGTCGAGCTGTTTCTTGCCTAAAGATCCACTACAGTTGTATTGCTTCCGTAAGTTTTCATGAGTAAACAGTTCAGGAAATAAGAGAACAAGCAATCGAGAGGCAAAGTTGCCTATGGAAAGACTGCTTTCATATATGCTTTTAATCTGTTCTTTGTTCAACAGGTAATCTGGGACAGGGACATCAAAATCGGGAGGGGGAAAGTCAAGTTTGTCAAAGTCTATGGGTACAAGCCAAATTTTTTTTGAGCGCCTGCCAGGTTTTTCATATTCAAAACTGTCTTCCACTTTTATGATTGATAGATCATCTGGTAAACTTGAAGAATCGTAACAGTCATCTCTCATCTGATCACATTCACTTCCATCCATATACGTATTTTCAAGCTCATCGTTTATTCGCTGAACACATTGCTGCAACCAGGCTTCTTCTTCTTGCACATCTGGAAAGTAAATTTCAGTGTACCTACGGATTATTTGAAGCCGATGAGGATCCAGCAGTTGTTTTCCAGAGTCTCCAAAGCAGCTGTACCTTTCAGCTAATTTTCTGTGGTCGAAGAGTTCCGGAAACAATCTGTGTAACAAAAAAACAGAAAATTCCCCTGGAGAAGAAGCTTCATCTAAAAATTCACTGAGATCCTGAGCATCCAGCATGTAATCTGAGGCAATGGCATTACTCCTGTCCAAGGACAAAGCTTCCTCCTGCTCTTTATCCTCCATAAAATGAGAGGATTCAACCTGCTCAGTCTCATAAAAACTGGACGATTGCACATTCTGCTGACTGTTTTCCATTTCCCTTTGAGCCCAAAATCTATTGAAAAAATCATTGACTTGAGGCAAACACTCCACCTGCCACACAGCTGTATTCTTCACAGAAGGATAACAAACTTCCACATAGTTACGGATAAGCTGCAGATGAAGAGATTCAAGTTTCCTTTTGTTGAGAAAGCCGCATGCACTGCAGCTTCTGCTGAACTCATCGTCACTGAAGAGCTCTGGGAAGAGCTGCACTAGCAACCGGCAGGCTAAGTCTCCGCCTGATGTGCTTTGATCCATGATTTGTTTGAGCTCCGCAGAAGTCAGCTGGTACTCCGGGGGAGGCTTGAAGTCTGCAACGGACTCTGCTGGACTGACTTGCTTTTTAATTCTGCTAACCTCCAGAGACAACAGGTCAACTTTACTGTGAAGCTGAGTCATATTGGTATTGAGGGTGTTAAGCGTGTAAAACATTTTCTGTATCAAAGAATATATATTTGGGTCAGAATCTGCGGTGGCTGCTGTTATGGCAATGGCTGCAGCAGAGTCCCTTTTGCGTTGGTCGTTCAAAGTCCGAAGATGCGAGGGACTGCTGGGGTTGATTTTTTCAAACAACTCGTAAGAAGTAAACTGCTCTGCTCCTGGTGGGTTCTTCTTCTCCGTGATTTTGTGTGAGATGCCATAGAGAGGTTTTTTATAAGATGGAGTGGTTACGTCACTGAAGGATTCTTCTTCACAAAGCCACGTTACATTAGGATTCTTGTTCTTGTTTGGCTGCTCTGCGTTTACCTGAGTGGGTGAGCCAGTATCTCTGTTCTTCATATTTGAAAGGGGGCCCTTTGAATGAATAAATATTGTATTAGTAAGACTGCCTTAAAAATATTAGCTATAAATATATGTCCCTTAAGCAGGCATTGTTACATAAATATGCAAAGTCAAATTTTCTCCAGAGGACTTAGTTGTGTTAAATACATCAAAATTAATAAATTCACTAGGAAAAATAAAAATACAGTAAAGTATTTTTTAGGTTTTTTTTGTTTGTTTGTTTTGGCTCATGGCTTTCTCCGTGGAATAGAAATGCAATAATAATCCTTAGTACTCTTTACCCACAGAGCTCTAAAAACTCTCCCAAATTAAGTGTCATTATGCTTCACCTTGCATATGAGGATCTTGGGCTGTAGAGAATTTGGGTGGCAACAAGTCAGCAACAGAGCCAAGAATAGAATCTAGATTTTCTGACTCCTAGTCCTGTGACCTTGCCTCTGCCTCCAACAACTGCATTTAACATTCCAGCACTCTCTTTAGGTTAGCTTTTGAAAATACCACAAAGGCTATAAGACACCAAAATTATGCTTATTCTCTTCTTTCTGATGTGAAAGGCTTATCCAGGGTTTTTTTAATCTTTATAATGGTGTACAGCTCCTAAACAAGTTCTAAGAATGACTGTAACTTTAAAAAAGTATTCTATTTAAATAATAACTTAAAAACAAAGTGAAAAGCACCTTGGTATTGTCTTTTTAAAAAGGGAAGCCTAAGATTTCTTTATTTCTGAAAGGCAGGGAAGTTTAGACTCATGGGTTTCTAATTTTCTAAATTATTTATATAGAAAACAGTAATGAGCTCTTAAGGAATTAATGTTCTCAATAATTTCTAACTCTTCCTCATTGCTTGAAATTGGAAGCAAGCATTTTCATCAACTCACAGCAAATATGCAGGGCTTGGGTTGGGGTTGGGTTTTTTTGCAAACACATGGATATTGCAAATAATTCTTAGGAAGTTAAGTACATAAAACAGAATCAAAATCCAACATTCAGAACTCAAACATGAGAAAACACTCACAGATTTTAGAGAGGACTGTACTGAAACATTTTGTCCTTTCCACAGGACATTAATTAGATAAAAAACACAGAATTTGCATTTAAGTATTAAAACAAATGGAACACAGACTTGAGGTCTGAGCAGAGAGCCACAAGCAATTTGAAGTTCTAGTGAAGACCCCACTACATCCTACAGTGAGGAACTTGGATTAAGGTTCATTTCTGAAAAAACAGAACTGTAACACTCATGAAATTAATCTGGTCCCTATGTGTACTCACACTTGGCATCTGCTTACTGCAGTGACAAATTGAGTCTAATTACTTTTTAATTTCTAACGCAATGTATACTCAAAAGAGGCTCAGAAAGAATAAGCTGGTTTCCACTCCAAGTTTAGAAACCAGCAGACTCAATTAAATTGAAGTTGTGTTTCCAAGTTCTGTTCTCATTCACATCACACAACCCTACATATGAAACCTCGTGTTTTCACATCCAAAGCTGTGTGGATGGACAGATGATAAAATGAAAGCAATAACGCAACAGCAATATATTTCACAGTGCGCAGAATCCCTAGCTGTGGTGGCGCGTAGGACACCTGACTTCCAGGTCCCATTTAGACAACTGTCCTTTTAGTCCCACTCATATTATAGCATATTTGCTATGAGGACAGGGGGGAACCAGAGTCCTCTAACACCACCAGCTATTAAAGGGTGACTTTTACCCCAGCAAGTGATATGATATACCCTAATTAAATCAGCCTTTGTGACTTGTAAAATACCAGAACACAAGAGACCGAATTGTGAGCCGACTAAGATCCACATTGCTCCCACCTAACCATAGGCTCCTATGCGGGGACTCCACCTATACGTGTCGGTGGAGAAACAGAGGTATTTCCAGATGGTAATAAAGCTCTCCCAAATAGACATCACCTGAAAGCAGGTCATGAATATCTCCACTGACAATAAATGTAGTTCTGCTCCCGAGTTAGACACCCAGACTGAATTACAAATTTCTTTCAACGTTTTAGATCAAAAGAACAAAACAAAACTGCAATTCTAGAGAATGCATTTCTTACACATACAGTGAGACCTGCTACCTAAGTAGCTAGCTCTTCCATTAACACTCCTGTTTACAAAGAATATTCAAAATACTCCTTCACATACAGAGTATCATTAATTCAATTCCTTCTCTACTAAATAGCTTGCCACGGGCCACCAGTTGTCTGTCAGTTCTCGTCAGAACTCCTGCCGTACCTTTTCCCTAATGAATTATATAATAAAACTTGGCAATATGGGGGTAACTTGTAACTTCTATTACTGCACACTCAGAGCCAGGGCAAAGCAATATTAGAATGTGTATTAAGCAGCACAAATTCATTGTCATAAGTATCTTATTGCACTTTGACAGTGAGTACTGTGAAAGGTTGCATTCTCCGTTTTGGACGCGGTGCTCTGGAGAAGTGTTCACGCTAAGAAGAACAGCAGATCTCTGCTGCAATGGCAGCAGAACTTCTGCCCTTTCACTAATGTAGCTCACAGTGTTTGGATCTGGTTGCGGGATGGATTTGGCTATTTGCATTTCAGAAACACATAGTCAGTGTTTGACTAACAGATGACAACACATTTGGGCCGATACTTAAGGATTTTCTATTTCAGATGCATTCAAGTTTTCTTTCCTTTTGCTTCTAATTATTGTGTCTTTATACAGTTTCCATCTGGGAACAACACTATCCACAGCACAAATACATGGCTTTTCATAAATTCTCCAATTAAACTAGTATTTAATATTTTTAAATTCGTTTTCTGTAACACTGATCTTTAAACACTAATGTATTTCAGATAATACTACACCCATTTAAGATGATGAGTTTTAATGTACCATCAAAATATAAGCAAAGATATTGTTCTATGAGACTCAATGTACATAAGATAGTGCTGCTTTTTATACTACATTTGCAGAGCAAGTTTTTATATTATATACATTCTTTGAATATTTGCAAAATGCAGTATTTTGGTAAACATCGACCAATATAAGTAATTATGAAATAGTCTCTCACATTATCTCTCGGAGTCCTAAGCCAAGTTTTAAAAGTTCTTTAGTTATTGCTCTGTTCAGTGCTAAAGTCCACCTAATTTATGACCGTTATTATGCTTAATAAACAAAGTCTAAACATCCGTAAGAATATAGAGCATATTCTAGCATATGAGTAAAGAAGAATAAATATATGAGCAAGAAACATATAAAAAGATTCTATCAATCACATGAGAACTTGGAAATGTCTTGCACATAAATTTTTTAAACTTACAATCTTCTATGCTTTTTTTTTTAAAGAAAATTTGGGAAAATTAATTTCTGGTTATGAAGTGACAATCAGAATTAAAAAAAAGCAAAACATCTTCTGATAGAAAGTCATTTAGTAATACAATCACCAGCCCAATAGTACAGTTATGTAGCATAAAAAGTACAGCTCTGCTTGTATCATACATAGATGCCTATGTGATGTGTAGTAAAAATATACTACAAGCACAATATTCTCAAAAATAATTAACATTTTTTCCTCTAAACAGAAATAGTTAATGAAGTCATCAACTAAAACACAATATTGGTACTAGAAAAGTAATTAACTTTAAAAATGTTGTTAGGATTGAGGACTTTCTGGTTGGTTATTTAACTAAACATGCTGATTCACTGGGGTCAGTCAAGAATGAATTTTCATCATTGTTACTGGGTGACTTTCTGATATTGTAAGTCCAAAGTTATAATCCATTTCAAATTAAATTTGACAATTTATTAAAGGCAAACAGCAAACAGTAAAATCCAAAGCAAGCAGAGTTCAGAGACCATTATGAAGTTCTTTGAAGAATCTGAATGTAAGTAAAACAATTGTAAAAAGAAAAAGAGAAAGGAAAAGAAAGAAACCGTGTAATAAGATTAAAACCTACCTACCACAGGCATTCAGGGAAAAAAACAGCCCTGAGAAGTCAGAGAGATGACAGTCAAGAAAAAGAAATATGAAGAGCTATGGCTAGAAAGGAGAAATGAAATGCACAAATACAACATGGAATAACTGGCTAGGCAGGAGAACAGCAGAAAAGGATATGTGCATTAGAGTAGGTCATAAACTAAATATAACCCAGGGCCTGAAGTTATTCAAAAGAGGATGAATTTGAATCTAGGTTATTTTAATAAAGTGCTGAGTACGAAAAACAGGAGGTCATTATGCTGCTCTAGAGGGTGTTAGAAGAGATGTGACTATCCAACACTGGACATTACCCTTCCAGGAATCTCAAAGAGAACAACAAAAATATAAAGTGACTCCCGAAGAAGGGCTGAAAAACCAGAATTTTAGTCTTGGAAAGGAAGGGCTGAGGGTGGACAACATCACACCAATTTTCCCACGTGCAGAAGACTTTTCTAGGAACAGATGACCACTGCTTTCCGTACTGAAAAGACCAAGGACAAAAAGAAACTTGCTCAGTTTCAGCAAAGATTAATGAAAATCTCCAATTGCTAGAGGTGAAACACTAGGACAGGATAATGGAAGAGACTGGGCATCTCCTTCACCAGCTGGACAAATATCTGGATTGTCACAAGTGGGATGCCGCACCAGAAGTTGTAATACATTCTGCTCTTGATATGCTGAAGTCTTCTGCATCCCTGCATTTTTATCTTTCAAATAATACACAAATTTATACTTGTCTCACTGACATCAAAATCTGTGTCACAGAAAGAAGAATTACAGCCCTGACTCTACCACTGAGGATCCAGCTGAAGGACTGTGTGACATGAGAGGGACTGTAATCAGAGTCATGCTCAGTTAATCCAAATGACTACCTGCTCCTACGTTCTCTGACAAAAACCAAAAATCTACTTCACATGAATGAATTAACCTATAACTGTATTTCATAGATATGATCGCTCCCACGTTATTTAAAGAAATACCCAGACAAGTAATGTGTGCAAACTGGGTTAAGATTAGCCATATTTGCCTCAAACTCGTTACTAATGCAAATCTAGTTAAACGTCTTGCATTTTGCTTATAGCAGCAGTGAATTTAGCCTATGAAATATGAACAGAAAAATCACACAGTCATGTATAGAGAAGTCACCTCTTGTGTAAAGCGTCTTTTCTTCACACTGGGTAAGACATCTTGCTGGTTCCCTGAACCATCACAACCAAGTGAAGTCTGTTTCCGTTTGTTGGAATCCTGTAGGCAAGTAACTGCGCCATCCAGTGAGTGTTTCTCAGCTGATCTGGATGTTACCGAGCAGTCTAGAGCTTCATCTTCATTTTCTGTTTCTACTTTCACAACATTTTTTTTAGGAATTTTTACTGGAAAAAGAGAAGGTTTAGAAAGATAAAGCACTCTCTCCAGAAAACCATGACACCCTTAGTATAACCTTTTGAGGTTTGTTTCTTTTTATGAAAATGTGTTTTGAAGAACATAATTATTTTTTATGACTTGTACGATAAGTGTCTGCTGAGGCCACCCCAAAGTCAAGATTTTATTACACTAGGAAACATTCAGTCATCCCGTAAATGAAATTTTCTTCCCCAAAGAAGAGTCTAAAGTATAAACAAATAAAGTTACAGTAGGAAGATTTTTTTGGAGGGGGAGAAAGGATGCAGAGCAGAAAATATAATGAGTGAAAAAGATAATGGTGTATTTTAGATAGCTTTTTAAAAAAGATTAATGCAATTTGTCTTGATCCAAGTGCATTTTTTATCAGGTTACAAAGGCTTTAATTCAACAAGTATTTTTGCTTGATCATAAATTACACAAAGTATAATATTTTACCTTCATCATCATCAGTGATTTCAGCTGAATTCATCTTCTATCTCACTAAAGAACAAAAAAAATACAAAAATAAGTATCAGCATCTTCTTGTATCAGGAAATATCTACATCTCTTTTTATAATTACTTTTAATCTAGAACCACTGGGCATTAACAGCCCACAGATAATTTCCAGTCTGTACGTTTGTAATAACTAGCTATTTTCAGTAAATTTCATGGCCATCTATAGACCTGTCAACATGCAAACTATACTGCAGAAAACATACGACAGCTAGGAAAGTACTTTAAACTATATGTCTTTTTCTGGTGTGGAGAAAAGTAAAAGTAATTTCCATATAAATGGAAGTTCACTGTATTAAACTCTCCATCCTGTACCAAGTCACTACTTCTTATTACAGTCAAATGTTTTTATATTGTCATTGGGGGTGACCCAAAGTCATCACAGAAGGAAAACTCATCATAAACTGTAATATACATGCTGGAGTAAGTTTTCATTTAAAAATCTTTAATCTTTTGATATGTATTGCATCAATTCAAGCAGAGCAATCTGCAGATCTACAGTAACTACTTTTTTTTTCTAACTGTCAGCCTCTAAATAATGTAAGAATTTTTTTTGTAAGGAAAAACAAATATATGTATTATTCCAGCATGATTTTAGCATTACTTCTCACATGAAAGACTCAGCTGTATTTCTGTTTCCTTGAAAACTGATTTTGCAAGTTACCTGGAGGCAAACATCAATCTGTGGACATGTTCCTAAAAGATATTCTAAATCTTTTGGAGATCTACAAAGCAAACAACCTAATCAGATCTCACTGACTGTTACAGGGCACACAGCTGCAAACTGGCACTCTCAACTGGTAAGCTGGTGACCAGTAAACTGTCACACATCGCTCATGTTCATCTACACACAGCATTACGTTTACTTGGCCCCAGAATATTATTACTTTGCATTTTCCACAGTTACATTATTCTTTCAAATGGTTTTCTTTCAACTGTTCCTGCCTATCCTTTAGCCAAGGTCTGAAGACAGGCTTCTCTCTGCCTGGAGCAAGTGAATAAAACCAATCAAAAGTGTACGTACTTTTCATTATAATGAAATTTAAGAGAGAGATGTGGAGAGAAAGAGACAGAGAATCTGTTTTGGAGGGAAAAAAAGTCTCTAACTCCCTTCTGAATAGTGTTGAATAGCTTTTTTTTTTTTTTAATCTCAAAATACTGTTTAAAAACTGTAAACACTTGAATGCTGTGTAGCTATGAATTTTTCTTCGTCAGCAACTGATGGCTGTTAATGGTAAGTATGAGATCCCACTATGGATAAGATTTTGTATGATTGCACCACAATGAGTAGCACACACACCCAAACAAAAGATGCATGGACTTATAAAATCAGTTCATAGTGGGCCACTCCAGAAGCCAAAATACCCTTCGATGTGCTGATCTTCAACATGGCCCCTATATACAGCCTTGTAAAGGGCATCCTCAAGAGGATAACGTGAGATTGTCTTCATCATGACGTTACCAGAAAAAGTCTCTCTCAGTTGGACATAGAGCTACTACAAACCCCTTAGACAGCTACTCCTTTTACCCACCATAATCTTCTATTTCAGGACTTGTATTTATGAATTGATCCGCCTATAAATTATGCCAGCTTAACAGCACTATAATCACTTCACTTAAACTTTTGCTAACTCTGTAGAGACATAACAGCATGAAACTAAGTGGCCCACACCAACTTCTAAACCACCTGATAAGCACTGCTGAGGGTTAATACCCAGTCTTACTAACTCAACAGTATTTATGAATTTAGACACAGCCACCACAGCTCTTTATGAAAAATCCTAAGACAGTGTACTTCCTACAGTGCCATCAAAAAGCTACATTGGACCTTAAGAAAAGCACATAGTACTAAATGTTCGTATTTTGCCCTGATATCCCAGATACATTGATATTCAGTGCCTGTATCTTTCTTACACTTTTCCACACTGCACTAGGCTTAGCTCTGAGGGATGTGGTACAAGACCAACATGTGGCAATGGTCAAGAAGTGTGACACAGAGTCTTTTTGTGAGGGCCTGAGGTGACAGTAAGCAAATCAGCCGATACCACTACAGAATATTCTGTAATGGAAATCAAAATGATTTTCCAGATAATCCTAGACTGCTCTATCAGAGCAAAACAGTAAAAGATGGTAAACACAGAGCCAGAAGGGAAGACTACAAAGGTGGTAGTGGGCAGAATGATACAACATATTTAGGAGGGGATATAGGGAATTATATTTTCCTTCTAACTCCTGCTATTATTGCTATTCAAATAGGAAGAATGCTTTAGGAGAATTCCTCTGAGAGAATACAAACAAACCGGAAGGAGAAGATAAATGAGGATCTGAATAGCCACTCTTTAAAACTGGAAAAAAGTGAAAACTAAAGCAAAGCTCATACCTTGGTTAACAGTTAACTTTCTAAAGGAGGCAACATCAGGAAGACAAAAGCTATCCCAAACTCAGGTCGAATAACATTAAGTCAAAACATTGTTTCACGAATTTGAAACAAAGTGTTATTACTTATTTTGATTTTTTTTTTAATTTGAAAACTGCCAGAATACAATTAAAAATGAATAGTCAAAACCAGCATCAGAATTAATGAGGCCTAGAAAGATGGGTTTCATATTTGATCTCTTTGGTGCCGAACAAAGCGTGAGCTCCAACCTTTTCCTTTCTGGGAGCCCTAGCAATCTCCCTCTCCTTATCTGGTTTCCTGTCTTCTCTGTGAGATTTGTAAGAACTTAGGTATTATGAGAAAATGAAGCACATATAACAGCTTCTGTCAGGAGACAGGATTCAACTGCCCCTCTGATTTCCTGCCTCATAGTCCCACCTGCTCCCTCGGTCAAGCATGGGTGCCCACCTTAACCTTCAGTGAGCTCTTCCAGCTTGATAAACGGACAGAAAACAATTCACTTCTTTCTTTGCTGGGTTACTTTTCTTCTAATTCAGAGAGGTAAAGGGTAAGGCAGGTAATCGGGCCCAGTTCAGGAGTATGCACGAGGTTCGGGACAGAAAGGAGGAATTAAAATCTCTGTCTCTCATACCAGCAAGCCACTGGCTTGGTTCAACCATTTCATGAAACTTCACTTATCATCTATGCCACCATCTCTCTTCAAATTTGGGTAGCAATGGACTCACAAGTGAGTAGTCGGCAGACACAGAGACATCAAGAGAGCAATTGTATCATCGCTTCCATAGGAAATTAGGGCCTATGGGAAGGGGGAAAATCCATGTGCATGTGTGAGCATGTCCATGCATGTATGCCTGTCTATGTAACGTTAACAATAATTTTGTTGATTGTTTGAAGTCCACGAAAGATAAAACATTTCAGATTCTTTAAAATACTGTTTGCAGTGAATCAGTACTTATGAATAATAATTACTGCCTCCGTAGAAGAGGCTGCAGTGTCAAAATCTGTTTTGAGGCAGCATTCTGGCCCAGATTGTGAGAATAAACAAAGCTGGAAAAAAAAAAGACCTAAAAGAACTTCGGACGAAATAGTGCAAAAAGCAATCGAGTAAGAAATCCATCCAGTAAAGCAAACACCTGACAGTTGTTCCTTGTCATGTTGAGTATACAAACATATTTCATTCTTACCTTATACGTCTTTTTTCAAAACAGAAGATAAATACATTTATCATCATTAGCCTAATACTGACTCAATGCACTCTACAAGACAGCAGTTAGCTAGTTCTAGGAAGGGGTGAACACCCTGTGCTGAAGAAGTTGGGAGCCCAGGTCTGCAGCCGTGACTGGCAGAGCAACCAGCCTTGGCAGCTTTATCTTGCTGGGATACAGACAGATGCTGCAGTACATCCTACTTTCTGGTGAAAAGAGGATCTAGAAAGAGGATTCCAAAACATACCAAACACCTACAACAGCAGCTACATCAGCAGCAAGATCCTGATCCTAATGAAGTCAATTGGCGTTGTAGCCAAGCACCCATATCTCTAAATTTTAGCTGAAACTTCTTGTATTTCTGCCTGAACTGGCCAAAAAAATCATGCTTTACAAAATATGAACATAAACCTTAAACTTCAAGTTTTAAGATTTTGCTTGTAAATATTTTAATTTGTGAACCAAGTTATTTTAGAAGCATTTTCTCTGGGTTCTTTGGTTTCTATCATGTGTACAAAGTTAATTTCCAAGGAATGTGTGAACAGTTCAGAAACACCTAATGAAACAGGCATACAAGAGGTAAACGAACACACTGTTTCTCTATGCTTATGCTAAAACATAGGTAAAACACTCAGAAAGAATAACTCTTACAGCCCTGATTATGGATCCTATACCTCTGAACACTAAAAATGAAGTGAATAGCTAATACTCTCACTTTTTCTTCAAAAGAGACTCTGTTTTTCATTAATGGCAGTCTGCTTCTAGTACAGTCATTAGCTAAACCTATCTAATGTAGGATAAACAGGAAGATGTGTAGCACTTGGACAAATTCTACAATCAAGGAAGAAGAGGTAAACAGACCCCATCCTCAAAACGCAAACAATAAATCATTAGATTTTACTGCCTACATTTCATCTATTGAGAATGATTTTCTTGAAAACAGTATGTAGTTTATAATTTCAATGTAATCAATGTCTCAAAAGAAACACCTTGCTGATGTATCAGCATATACTCACCTTCCCATCTAAACCGCCTTGATAGCTACTAGTCCTGGTACTGTACAGACGCCTGTGCTGAGCCACTGCTAGGTGTCATGCAACAGAGCCTGGGGGATGCCAGCACTCACCTGGGAAGACAAAAACATTCCTTTTGGCTCAGTCCTCCAGACTCACCCACATATTCTGACACTCAAAACAGTTAAAAAAGATGAAGCAAAAGGGATGGTTTTCTTAAGGTGATTAAAGCTTTCTTCTTCTAAGAGAAGTTAATAAAAATATGAATATGCGTTACAGTCTAACTTTAGACACCGATCTAAGTGCATCTTGTGATTGCAGCAAGATCCAGAAATCCCACTCAGCTACCAGCTAAACTTG